TGAGTGTCTGCTATACTCTAATTGGACAAGAGAAGATTAACTGGGTACAAGGAGGCCAATACTGGGACATAAAAAGTTGCTTCCACAGCTTTTTTACAAAGCTGAGAGAAAGTGGAATAAAGAGTTATGTTGTCATTGATGGTGTACCTCCTCAAAGCAAGGGTGAAGAATTAGAGAGACGTAGCATTAAGAAAATGAAAAGGATTTCCCAAGGTGTTAGGGAACCATACCGTCTACGGACTACATGTCACCCACTACACACCGATTACATATTCTGTGAAGTGCTAAAAGAGTTTGGTGACTGTGTTGAAGTTATCTTTGCTGATGGAGAAGCAGATCCCGAGACTGCCTCCCTTGCCAACCATTATCGCTGTCCTGTGCTTGCAAATGATTCTGATTATTTTATGTTCAACCTTGATGAAGGATATATTCCATTGGATACAAAACTGTTTAAATGGAAACCTGAAGGGGAAATTGAGGCAAAACGATATTTGTTGTCTAAATTTAAAAATGAGTTTAAAGATCCCGAACTGGTTTTTTTAATTCCTGCCATCATTGGAAATGATTTCATTAAACCACCAGGAGAAAATAAAATTAGTGTAGAGCAGCTAATTAATTCTCTGAAAAGCTGTTCCTCATTAGAAAAATTCCCGACAAGTGGAACTCAAAAGGAAGTTTCAACAGAATATGATGAGGCAAAGGAGATGTACTACGTCACTCCAGTCAGCAAAGAAGAGTTGATGTCATGTAACACAAAACTGAATACAGGTAATGGCAAACCTCTTAGAGGCACACGTATCATAGAGGAGTATCGTCATGGAAATCTTGCAGTATCAGTTCTGACTGTGATCACTCAAGGCGAGTGTGAGCTACCAATGATGATAGATGATCCTGAGCAAGCCTCATCAGTATTGATTGGAAGAGAAATAAGGAAAAGCATCTACAGGATTGTAGCACCATGCTTACTGGAAGATGAAAATGGAGTGAAGAAAGTGAAAGAAATATATCGCAACACTTCTTGTGATGGATTAGAAATTAAGTATGTTGAGCTGAGCAGAGATGAATGTCTAAGATCATCATGCTCCATTGATGAAATACCACGACTAAAACCTGAAGAAAAGATAGAGATACTCTGTACAGCAATAGAGGTGGATCTTAGAAAGCTGGGACAGTTTGAAGATGAATGGAAACTAATTGCATTGTCATTGAACTACTGGGTAAGATATGCCAAAGTTCCTAATGATGCCAAGCCTACAGTGCAACTAATCCACCCACTTGCTTTGTGTTTTATCGCTTGCACAGTATGCCCTTATGACCCTGCCGTGTTCATACGTGAAGATGAAAAAGATAGCACAGAAGTAAAATGGAGGGTGAATTTGCACACCTTTGCACAATGGAAGTGTGTCTATGACGATATTTTTGATCTGAACAGCTTACTCATGAATCCACTTCCATTCAAATCTTTTGCTTCTATATTCAATGGAAGGCTCCTCATGCATTATACCAACTTAACATATGGGGCATTTGTGCAGGAAAAAACAAGGCTCTTTGAAATGAACAATAAAAAGGACTGGAAGTCTCTGTATAAATTACTGGTTGATCTTAGACTTTGACTGGCATTGATTTTATTACATGTAATTAAAGATAAACACAATTAGATCTAGCTATTGTTAAATATTTTTATTATAGATGCTCAAATAATTAAAGGGACTGCCCACCATTTAAAAACTGTGAAGTACGTAAATGGTGAGAAGCTGATAAAAAATGCAATTGAGTTCCTGATAAAGCATATTTAGTAGTACAAGCAAAATTTCTAACTACTATATACTCGCAACCTTGGAATTAAGGGACTTGCCTTAACAAATTAGACCATTTGGGACATTTTATGATGGAATGTGCATGTACCTATATGGAGTAAAGTATGCATATCTATACCTGCAAAATACTAGTACCAGGTGTTCAATTGAGCCAGGCTTTTATCAGTCTGAGCCCCACCCCTTCAGCTTTAATACAAGACAAGTACAAGCACTTTATGAAGTGCTTAAGTACAATACACTACTATAGCCTTGACTGTTGTATCAGTAAAGTAAGATACAATTGTTTTACTTAAAAATTAATGATTGAAAATAAGAAGCTCTTTAGTGATATTGATACTAAGGGTCTGATACACTATGTACAAAATCTGCTAAAACTAGAAAGTTCATGAATTCAAACTTGTACTACCTGATTTACATTTATGTGCTAGTGCTTTAATTTTAGCCTTAGAATCCAAGAAATATTTTCACCAATTGCCAAAATAAAACTTAATTGCCTATTTTTCCCACTATACAATATAAAAAGGTGGTGAGTGTTAATTTTTATAAAAATAAACTATGTTTTGCAAGGGCACACATTATAGTGGTTATGGCCATAGTCTAACCACTGCCAAACCATTGATGTGTCGTAATCATGCAATCTTAGAACCACCCAATAGACAAATAATAGAATCAGCTCATTAATCAATTCCATTGTATCATGCAATACATGTAACACTATTTATGAATTATTGGAACTTAAATAGGCATGTTAAATTCATGGGATAATTTTGCATGAGAGCATATTAATGGCTATGCCGCTTTACTCACAGCATCAGTAGATACAGGAAGAAAAATTCTACTCTTCCACTTACATGTATAAACAGTGACACTGCCAATTTTAATAAAGAAATAGCAAAAGACTACTATTATACACAAACAAAAGTGAGATGGCCATAACATGAAAACTTTAGTTGAAATCAGGTCAAACTTTTATATACATGTAGCATAAAGGACATCCGGCAATATATAGTAAGTTTAAAATGGGGTAATGTTTAGAGCTATTTTTGAAAAGTCATGGATTATTGTAAAAGGTATTTTTTAAATGGCTTAGAGAGAATACTTTATTTTTATGATTTAGTTTTGATAAACAGTAAAGGTACTTATGTTGTGTATAAATTATGAATTGATTCTGATCAAACTTGGGTTTTAATAAATTTTTAAAGCTACATGCCAAAGCAAACTAGCTTGGGTAGCTCCTAAACCATTGACAATCATGTCATCTTAATGCAATGAGCTCATTGTAATTGTATAAGAACATACAATGTACATACACATGCTACATAAACATGTATATTGTATACCGTATAGGGGTTTTATTTTGTTGGTATAAAATTTCGTGAATTTATCCAGATTTGCCATTTGTTGGTATAAATTTTCGCAAATCCTACCTTCTGCAGCCATTTTCACTAGTGTGCCACACCTCTTTTGTGGAATTTAATTTCGCAAATTTAATGAAAATATGAAATTTGCAAAATTTATTTCCAGTGAAATATAACCCCTATACGGTAATAACGTGGGTGCATATCATTTCAGTTTACTTACAGCATCAGTAGATACAGGAAGAGGGATTCCATTCTCCACTCATAAACACTGACACTGCCATTTTAACAAAGAAACAAACTCGATGCCTGAGACTCACTATATAAAAAGTAACAGCACAATTAACATGAATAATATAAAGAACATAACAGTACATATTATATAATAATGTGTAATGCATGTGTACATACACAATAGGCTACAATTAAAGAATTAAAATACAATCACTCTACATGTACGTCAAATTATGATTGGCTCTAGCAATTGTTATCACTTTTAAAATGTATACTCACTCAAAATCTAAATTAATTGCACATCTGAGCTGATATAGTATCTAATACCGAGATAGTTAGCATAATGATATCAAGCAGCGATATACAGGAAGAAAAATCCTGAAATATCAACTGCACTATGTCACCACCTTCATTAATGAGAAATTAAAAGTAACCTGACTTACATGTAAGGCCTAAAGGGGCTTTAAAAGCTATCATTAGACAAAAGACTAAACTACATGTGATTGCTATCTGTGATTGTTATATTAATAAAGCATAATATAAAGCTATAAGGACAATAGATCAGTTATTAATTAAAAGAGTGGGTGTATTGGCACACCAAAAAGACACCCAAAAAATTCTTAGACAAAATTAATAACAATAACAGGTTCTGAAGCCATAAACCTTCAGAGCATATGCAAGTTAACAAGACAATGCACTCATCAATAGGGACAATGCATACAATCTCTTGATTAATTAATGTCTCACACACCTCAATTCCAAATTCCTGGCACTGCTCCTCAAACTTCATCCTCAAGGAATGAGCATTAGTCTGACTATAATTAGCTTTACTTGCTGACTCCTGTAAAGCAAATAAATGGAGAGATTACACAAAAGTAAAGGAAGGAAATGATGGAAGGATAAATGGGGGAGGGTGAAGAGAGAGGGGGAGAGTAACCTTTTACTATTGCTGGTAACATGTCATTTGTCTTTTAAATGATGCCCTTTTATAATCAGCTATAAAAAATAAAGAAAATGGTACAAAATGATAGCATTTGTATATTCACTCTATTCTGCCTATGAGCCATGATGCAATGTTGAGGTATAGGTAACAGAAGAATAATTATACTAATTTTATAAACTATAAAACTACTTCACAGGATCATAGTATTTTTAAAAGATGGACATGACTAATTTTTGAACAATGGGTGCATGTAATTTCCTAAATTGGGTCAAAAAGTTTGAGTCAATTATGAACAAATATTTAACATCAGGCACAATAGTGTAAAATGCAATAATATACTGCATAGGGGTAATTCAGAAATTCTGGCAAATTGCTAAAATTTTAGTGATTGGCAGGTTTTAATTTGGTGAATTTGTGGTTATGTTGTATTAAGGTTGCACATAATGGTACAAAGTGGTGGGTGCTAATGCAAATGACTATCAAAATGCTAAATTTGACAAAATTTATCACTTCCAAAATTACCCACTATACAGTATCAATCAGTGATATCTAGCTATTGATACTACTTGCCATTGTAATAACAATCGTACACACACACACACACACTAGTCAGTGCATACTTAACAAATAAAGATTCTTTTTCATACAATTACAATAATAAAATATAATCTCATTCCTAAAGAAAAATTAAATTTAATCATTTGGATACTAGT